AGGCAGGAATTTCAGCTAGGACAAGCCTCCTAGCCTTTTGCTGGAGCAACTAACCATTTCAGCTAAAATCATAAAACTTTCTGGAATGCCAAGATACATGAAGAAAATTTAGATATGAATCATGTTTATTTAACTTTTATTTAAAGGTAGCAATAACTCCTTTGCACTCTTTGGCAGCCTAGGGCTGCTTACAAGTTACACCTGTAACTCCCATTACAGTAATCAGATTATACCTACTCATTAACCTCTAGTGTATTAATGGCTAATTATGTGTCTTACTATTTAAAAGTGGATGCCCCATACAGGTTGTGTGGGGATAGGATGGCTGAATATGAGTGAAGTTTTAGGTGTGTGAAATTAAAAGGTAAAGCTGTATCTACAAAGGGTTCTTAGAGGTTAAATATTTCATATTAGGAGGATATTCATTACATTGTATATAGATTAAATTAATGTGCAGGTGGAATAAAGACAAAGCATTGATATTTTAACTTGCAGCAGGCATTTGCTTCAAAGATGCTCTTGGTCTCAGGGTGAATTTCTTCAGTGCCAGTTTCAGCCTCTCCTTAGAGCACTCTCATGTACCTACAGCATGCAAAAGCACATGATGTGTTAAAAAAAAATCTATTCCTGGCTTGTCTTCTGAGACAGTATTAAATTCAGATAATTTTGACTGAATTTTATAAAATTTGTAGCTACAGTCCTTTTTCAGAATAGAGGTGTTGAAATATGCTGAGTAACATACAGATGTTTTACCCAATTTTTTTGTGTAGGGGTAAGATAGGAATATATTTTAAAACATTTCAAGTAGCAATACTATTTACCCATTTAAATTACATTTAACAATGTTTCAATGGGAAGCATTTTGATTCCTGGATTAAAGAAATTTTTATTTTTAAATTCTCTTGAAGTTATTTCTCATGTAATAAAAAAATCTTCCTCAAAATTTGATCCAACCTCTTGTTATTAATTTTTTGGTTTTTGAAACTGCTAGAAAGCCAAATAACCCATTCTACACAAAGTCCTTTTTCTTAAACAGAACTTCTCAGACAGGGTTTAGCCTGCTGAACAGCATTTAATCACTACCACCAAAGCACAGTTATGGTGTCATGCAAAAGATAGTGTCACAGTGTCTCTAGGTATGAGAAAATTATTTGTTTGACTTGATTTTTTTTTTCCTAATAGCACTGAGAAATCCCTTTAGGCAAGACCTTTTTTTTTTTCTCCTTTGTTTTAATTTTTCCTTAGAGCAAAAAGGAGTGGGACTCATTTGTTAGGTGTGTGAGACTTTGCAGGTCTGGTTTTACAATACACCATTTAGTCTTTGGTGAGGCTTGTTAAACCCTGAAAGAAAAGTCATGCATTGACTGAGTGACGCCACCCTGAGGTTGATTCCCAAGGGAAAGCAAAGATTTGGTCCTGCCTTACAATCATTAGGGTGACCGAGAACACCTTCTAGCAAGTGATAGCGTACCCAGCCTTGGCAAGCTGCATAATGACATTAAACCCAGTGATCTAATTATTCACTTCTAATATAAAGGGCAGGGTTCCCTGGGAAATCAGGAGCAGGGCTGAGAAATACATTTCACAATACACACGGAGGCAGTTTGTCAAGACTCTAACCTGGGAAAATTAACTTATGAAGCTGTCCTATGCATCCAGTGTGCCCAGTTCAGAATAATTTCACATGTATGCAGGGAGGATCTTTAAAGCACTAAATTATCAGACTTGAACACCTTGTTTGAAATATCACTTTAATTTGTTGTGGCTCAGAGATCTTTAACTTCTTATTAATTATGGAGGTACATAATGTAAACATATGCATAAGTTTAGCATAGAAATTTAAACTAAGCCCTACTGACGTGTGAACATAAGAGAAATTTATAGGTAGAAAAAGCCAATGAGAAAGTCAAGAGCACTCAAGATGGCATATAAGATTTTTCTTCAATGTCAAACTTCTTTTTCATGATCATTTCTTAATTTTTTCTTTATTCTGAGTAACCTTGTGTGTTGCCAGGTAACAAATTTTTGCTGTGCAAAGGTACCCATTTCCAAATGTATCCTTAAATACAAACTGAAAATACTTGCATCTTCATTTATTTATACACCTACAACTTTGGATTTGTTTGCAAAGGAATGCCAAAGAAGTCACATGCCAAAGAAGTGACTGTTCTATACCTCTGTACACAGAAAAATAGATTTTTCTACAAGCATATTTCAAACTGTGGAATATTTGAACTACAGCCTAAGTAATTACCTGAGCAGTCTACTGGGAATGTACATATTAGAACAAGTTGTAAAATAATCTCTTCCAAATAGCTATTAAAAACAAAATTACAGATCCTGGGCCAGATTCTCAGCTGTTACAAATTGGTGGCTGTTACAAGTCCCTGACTTCATGTGTGCAAAGGTTGAGCTCCAAGAGAAATTTTATAGTAAAACTAAAAACTACTGAAAAATGAGGTTCAGAGTAGCACAGGTGGTATTCACACCATCTCCTTCAAGTTCCTTTAGGCATTTAGCCTGGCTTCTCTGAATCATGCCTGCCTCCTCTACACTGGCAGTATGAGGAACCTGGCTTCCTCCAAACTGCACCATAACAGATGACTAAAGTAGAATCAGTCAGACAGTGTAAATGCCCTGAATACCACAGAAAGGTTGTGTCTTCTGTCAATAAAACTGAATTGCTAGAGAGACCTGCTTTCAAGAAAAAAAAAAGAAAAAAAAAAAAAAAAGAAGTATCAAGCCATTTTACTGTAAAGGTTGTGGTTATGTGCAAAAGCAAATCAGTTAAATCAGTTGTGGCTCCAATTTCTGCATCACTTTCTAATTTCTCTGTGATTCTCTTAATTAAAAAGTATCCTGAATATTGTCTTGCTGTCTATAATAAGAAAGATTCTTATTTTCTTCTTTAATGACGGTCTAAATCTAGTGTAGTAACCAACTGACTAACACAGGGAAATCCCAATCTTTCAGCTCCATTGTATAATTTATACAGTATGTTCAACACTTTCCCACATAATAAACGTGGGAATCCCTTACAACCAGTCCAAGGTCTGAGGTTTTTAGTATGAATCATGTTCGCTGCATCCTGGCTTAACCACACCCCCAGCTACTTCTGCTGGGAGCCAGAGTTACTGCAATCACCACTGCTAGGAGATACCATGTGCAAAGGCATTATTTACAGCAGGATGCAGTGAAGATGAGAGACAGAGACTGATAACTTTATCTCAGGGGTTACCTGGGAAAGACTGCTCTAGGTCTATTTAAAAGAGTAACTTTAAATAATGAATAAATTAAGAGATATTATCATTCAAATATTACTTCTTGCTATGACAAATCTTTCATGTAACCCTTAGCCAGGTTCTGTTTATTTAAGGTGATGCTCATTTGAATCGTTTGGGAAAGAAGTGCTTTCACTCTACCTGTTATTCAATTTGACAGTTCTTTGCAACATGGGAGAGTCATGTTTGAACTTGTACAGAGAAATGTCATTGTCTTGTCTTAAGAAAAGATATTCAAGATAATGTTCACATGCATTTAGCCTCCTTGAGTGGAAAATTAATGTCTGGCAGAAGTTTTTATGTAAGGGAGAAAGCAAATGACAGCAGGTTGTCCGATCATTAATGCAAAACTGGCAATTTTAATCAGCCTTCAAAAACTAATGTGTAGTTTCTGAATTATGCTCAGTACTGCACATCCAGCTAGACATTTGTCTGTAACATAGATGTCTCCACTGTACATTTATTCCTATTGCTTAGAGCCCTCATAGATGCACAAACCTAGCACAGACATAATCACTATCTCTTAGTCTTTTCTCTGTCAGGCATATTTCGCTTCTTTTATACTGGGTTGTCCGATGAATATCAGCTCCGCCTTTTGCAATCAGGAACATGAGTTTGTCAAGGCTTTAGGCATTCACTCAAATCTGACCACCTGACTTGGACTTTTGCTCTGAATCATGCTTTGGAAGAACCTCCTAGATACACACCTGTCTATTGACTCCAGAGGGAACCAAATCTAAAGGCCAGTCAGCTAACTCAGCCACCGAAGAAAGAAACTGGATTGTGAATGTTAAGTAAAGCCACTCACAGTTATACGGGGGTAAAAAATTAAGGGCAGAAATGGTTCGGTGCTACATTTGTAAAAGTGAGATTTTTAGAGCGTTCTCCTCTCACTAAAGGTAGTTTTTGAAGTGGGAGGAGGAATTCATAAAAGGAATTGCTTTTGCACTATCATGCAAAGTTGCACTAGTCACAAGCCAGCAACTTGTTGAATATTGTGAGTTTGCCATGTCTGTATTCACTGTATGAAGCAAGGAGGTCAGAAGAAGGGATCCCGAGTTTGGTTCTTATCTACATCACTGATTCAGTTTGTAATATTAAGCAAGTCAAGTAAGTGGTGTTAGGTAGGCATCACAGGTTTTCCCACATCACAGAAATGCTGTTTGGCTGAATTAATTTATGCTTATGAAGCACTTAAACTTTTTTTGAGAAGTCAGTGTAGTAGTATGAAAAGGAATTTCCCACAGGTTCCAGAGGTGCTGGGATCCAGAGGAACTGAGGCAATTAATCAGTGTTCTTACAGAGTCAGAGCACAGTGCCTCTCTGAAAGACAAGCATACACAAAAGTTAAGAAATTGTTTATTCCAGCCGTAATAGGAAACTTTTGTATATAATTTCCCTGCTTACTCAGAGGCACTTTAACATCTGTCAGGCCAGGCCTAGCACTTAGCACACAGATCTGAGGACAGAAACACATGCCCCATTTCCTGATAGCAGCTCACCCGCCACTGCGGCCAGAGCCAGGGACCACGCACGCAGGAGACGCCAGGCTCAGTTCCACCAGTTAGTTCGGCTTCATGGACCAAATCCAAATTTGTGCAGGTGTAAATGAGAGCCACACAATCTGTTCCATGCCTTTAATGAAATTTCAGTTCTGATTACATGGCACTCTTTTCCTTTTAACCATTCAAGATAAGGGATAAGGGATAAGGACTGAAGCCAAAAGCTGCTTGCCTTCCATTGCCTTGCTTCTTTGAGGCATGCAGTATTTCGATCAGAATCCTTATCGACAGCTCCAAACTTCATTCTCACCCCTTCCCATTCAGACAGTGCCAGTCAGGTTATACAGCAATCACCACAACATTTAGAGTCCTTCAGGGAAAAAGTGTTTAAGGGCATCCACTCTTTTCTTTTAAATCACTGATTTCAGTCAAAAATCTCTTCAAGCTCTGCAATAGAAAAATTACATTTTTCACTCAAACACCACCAACCCACTCTTCTTTCTTCTATTTGATCATAATTCCTGTTCACTGAGTTGTTCTTTCTCCTGGGTTTATACACCTGTGCTCCTCTCCACTTTTACTCAAACTTCAAGCATCTGGTAACATCCAGTGCTGCCAAGTTTTCCTATGAGAGCACACACACTCAGAGGCCAATAATGACAGTAATCACTGTAACAGACAATTTCAAATATTGTGTGTTCTTCTTACACTACAGGGACTGCTGTCCCAGACCAAAGGGAAAAAAAATAAAAACTGAAAACCTTAAAATTTCCCAAAAAATATGTATTTTCAGCTAGTCAGGAAAGATAATGCAGTGGTTTATTTTTTATTCTTTACACCTACAGACCCCTACATGCACTCACACATCTAAACTTCAGAGCACTTTATAACTTCAGTCATAATTTAGAATTTTTAAAAGGCATACAGTGCAAGGCATTGCAACTGATTGCAGTCTCTTTCTATCACCTAAAGAGTCTGGAAGCATAATCAGTGTTGTATTCCTTATCTGCTGTATTTCCTTGTCTCCTTTTGCACCCTGACAGAGGATTAATCACCTGATGGGAATACCACAGACTGCAGAGATCTGGTGGGAAATATATTTTTGAATGACTTCACACTAGTCAGAAGTTCATGATGTTTATGATTTATTGTCTCTAGTGAATTTCTCATTGCTTTTGAGAATTTAAACTAGTTCAGCTGCTCCTAGTGATGAGGCACAGAATGCAAATACAAGGCCACAGTAACACTGTGAAGCTCATATTTGGAAAGCAGTTTTTCCAAAATACGCAGAGAAATTATGGCTTTAGACCTAAGGAGGAGAAGAGCAACTTACTTTTCAGCTGTTTCCACATTCTCTTCTGGCTGTGCTGTAAAGACTTCTACATAGGAAAAAAAATGTAGAAGAACTGGGGCCAAAATCCGAAGTCTTCCTTCAATTTTTATCACATTTTTACATGGCAAATGACCTCTCAGCATACTTCCATGTAATGAGATACACACATGGAAGAGCAGAAAGAAAAACAAGGCCAAGATGTCAGGACTGCTCTTTGGCATATTCAGAATGTACCAACTGGAAGATGAAAATAAGAGCAGCTCAGGTAACAGACACTGTTGGACAGATGGGGTTTATTTACCCCAGGAGGGTAGAAATGCTCAGAAGGATCATTCAAAAGCAGAGGCACATGGCAACATCATACAAATTCTGCCCTGAATAAGGATTTCAGGTTCAGAACCCTGATCTTAAGGAGCAAATATAGCTGGCTGTCATCACTCAATGTTTCAACTAGTTTTTAAAGCATTTTTATTTCTTAATATCTTCCTCACTGTTCAGTTTTGATATTCTGTGCTATGTCTCCTCTTCAGCCTTGAATATGGTTAGTAATTTCTTTGGGATCACAAAACTATAAAAGCAATGTTTACTCATACAAAATAAACACTTTTAGCATTTTACAACCTCTAAATATACTTCTGAAAACATGCAGTATCTTCTTCGGCCCAAAAAACATTAAAGGTTGTCTTCACTGAGCAATGTGATAGAAAGGACTGAAAGTATTAAGGACACTGGTAGTGTTTTAAGTGTTAAAAGTAAAACATATTTGAGCATGCATGTGAGAAAGGATCTGACCACTGACTGGTCTGCCTCTCTGGAAAGGGGCATAAAGCCCTACTGATCTGATATGAACAACTGCAAGTGACAATGCTAAGCAAAAGTACTGGAAAAATAAGGCTATCAAGAAGGCAGTAAGCTATAACTAAGCTAGTAAGTCAAGCAGCTGTTTAACCATAGTCATATCTATATAAATACCAGAGACTTACAAATTCAAATGCACAACAAAACCAGAGACCTGTCCTAATACTTGACTTAGGAGAAAAAAGACACTGTGAGATGAATAATTGGTTAGGCTTTCTTCCCTTTGTCACTCCCCTAACAGTCTGGAGGTGCCTGTCCTCCATTTTGAGAATTTATGTGTTCCCTGAAATGAAGAGAGGTTTCATCTCCTTTCAGCTATCACGTTCACCTCTTTCAGAAGGTTAGCTTTGCCCAAATTGTTTGACAAGGAGTGAGTGAAATCTCAGCCTCACTGAAGGCAGTGGGAAATTTGCCATTCACTATAACAGAGCCAGGGTTTCAACAGAAAGTTTATATCCATAGAAGACCAGACTGAATCTAGTCCAGTGTTTGTGAAGTGCTTTGAAGTAGAGAGTGTTGCAGCACAGAAAGTATTGGTATTATTACTATTGCTATTGAGTGCATGACAGAGAAGAAAGGTAGAGACCTCAGAGTGAACTGGAAGGAAACACTGATTCTGGAGATCTTTCTCAGAGGTCAGTGCATGGCATTTTTCTAAACAGTTTCCTTTAAAAGTGTCTAGTAAAATTCTCTTTCAACCTCAGTACCTTCTTGGCATGTTAATCAGAAGCAGATCTTCCTACCAAGCCCAGCCATCCTTATGGAAAGCATCCTATCTTTTTCTTCACATACTTTTCCTGAGTTGTGTAACTGGCCTCTAAAGATTAACTGAAATAAATACTCTACAGGGAGTTGGGTTTTTTTTTTTTTTTTCAGAAGTGCTGCAAAAGCCCACGCTGGAAGAGAGAATCTATGTTTTGCTTTCAGCCTGTCTGTTCTTCCTCTGAACTACAGTGTGGCCCATGCACTGCACTGGCCCATGGAAAAGAAAGCCTGGGATCCACTGTTGTTGGCAATTATAAGCTCTTCCATTAGTTGTGGTTGTCCTGTATTTATTACCACCAGACAAGACAACGGTTGGTCATCAAGGAAAAAAAGCCCTCTCCCATGATCTCATTAACTAGTTTATTCTGCCACAGACTCATTCAGAATTCTTTTCAAGTTACATGGACAACACTGCAGTCAGGAAATGTGTTAGCTGCTACCAAAGGAACTATTATTTGGGTCTTGGCTGTTGCTTCCCCTCAGTATTCTCAGATCACAGTCCCTGCAGTTCCCTCAAACATCTTGCTCACTGGAAAAAAAACACTCCCTGTAGGGTTCAGACACCCAGGGACTGATCTTCAGCTGGTGCAGACTGTCAGGGCTCCCTTAACCTCAGGCAACCCAAGGTTTTAGACTTCAGAGGATTTATCAGCAGCCCAGCAGCTGTGAGAAGAGCACAGCGTTAGGTCAGAGAAGGAACAGGCCAGCAGTTGTGAATCAGCCATTGGCAAACTCAGCTCAGCTGAGAATTCCCAACCACAGCCTACAGAAGGGAGTTGTTACATCTTGATTAATTTCAAATCACACTGTCTTCTTTCAGTCTCTACCTTTTTTGGTTATCTCAGTGCACAGCAATGGTCCCAGTGGTTGAGATCTGCACAGTTGTGTTCTTGACTCTGATCTTAATCATGCAGCCTGTGATGGAAACAGTGACAAATTACTTCCATCAGTCAACTAAAAAGAAAGGACAAGTCTGTATAGTCTTCTAAATTTAATCAACTACACTACAAGCCAAATAAAGGGGTGCTACAAAATATGCTATTAAATACTTGACTATTTAGTAGGTTTAATTGCAGCTACAAATAAATTTGAAATACTATAACCTAGGAATCTTCCAAAAACAGTTTCTTCTTCTGATTTCAAACCAGATGGCACTTATTAACAAGCTGGTGAGACACAGGACATTAGCACTGAATGAATGCACCTATACATCTTCTAGAATTGAATCTGGAATGAATCTGATTTCTGTATGAACAACTGTGATCACATCTATGATCACACATGCAATCATGTCAACACTTCACTTGATGCTCATACAATTATTTTTCAAGAAGTCTCATAGTCTCTCAGTGCTTTGGAAAATAAGACCACTTCTTTATAAACTGAAATATGTATCTAAATGCCCAAGTTTACATAGATACATTTTAAAACATTGGCAACAGTGAATAACTGCATTAACAAGAGCAACCAACTACAACCATCTATTTAAGTATCTGCTACAAGTATATATGTATTCCCTATTTAAACTTACCAGTACAACATGGTATCAGATGCAACATTTCAACCAATAAACACATTCCTAAGGGAAGATATGGCATGCTTTTCCACCACTTATCACAGTAAAACACACCAGCTGCATCTGTTCAGGGCAGTTCATATCTCACTTAGCACTACTTTTCATGGCCCGTGACATAAAAAAGAAGGTACCTGGGCTTACTTCTTAGGAAGATCCACAACACTGTGCAAATCAGTGTTTCCTTCATGTCACACTGTGGGATTCACATTCTCTGAACCTGAGAGAAGCAGTGAGAGAAGCAGAGAAAAGAATGCAAAACGATTCTTATCTCATTCACTGCTCCTGTGTTGTGCTAAAGCAGAATGCAACGTTGAGATTGTTTACCCAGAGTGATGGTGTTTTGTTTCCTTGGCCTATCAGGGCTAAGCACGTGTGCGGACTGGCAGTCAGCAGACAGTCACGAGATTCTGGGCAGTTGAGTTGAGTTGGGTTCTTGTGCAGATTCAGTTTAGATTCAGTGTAATATAGTGTAATATACTATAGAATTATATAGTATAATAAAGTCATTAATTAGCCTTCTGATAAGATGGAGTTCTCTTCATCATTTCTCCTGGACATCAGGAAAATATCACCAATACTGCACTGCTTTTCAGCATCCGTGGGTGATTCCAACACACACTGGGTTTTGACTCCAACAGAACAGGCAGATAAGGGGAGAATTTAGAAAAAGAGAAAGATGGACAAAGTACTGATCCCTTTCTGTGCCCTTACAAACCACACAGGCAGCTTGGGCTAGAGAGACTTAGCAAAAGGGACAGGTTAGTGCTTTACTGCTCTCTGAAACCATCTGTAACATCCTTATGGATTTAAGGGGGTCAGGATTTCACTCACTCTGTTTTTTCCTGACAGAGAAAGCCTTGTGCTTTGCTAAATTAAGTTTCAGTGGGGCTACTTCTTCCTTTTCTGGAATTTGGAGCAGCAGAAGAGCTGGTTCTGCTAAAGCCCTGTGATGTGCCAGCCCTCTCGAGCCTCCATGTCCCCTCAATGTCACACCTGTTGCCAGCCCCATGGCAGAGCAGCACCTCACAGCCCAGCTTCCCTGCTGGTGCAAGCACATAGGCACCTCCAGCCGTGCACCTCGCCTCCTCAGCAGCTCTGGAGGCCTGCGGTGGGTCGGCTCCACTGATCAGCTGGAGATTTTGTTTAGAAGGCTTCTTTATGCTGTTTATGCTGCTGTCAACACCACAAACCTAACACTGCCACCTTGTTGTTTACATAGCTCCACTCCAGGACACCCTCTACTAACACTGCCCAGTGTGTGAGGGTGCAGCTTCTCCTTTTTATTTTTATAAGGTTTGTTAACCACATTGCTATAAGATATTCATTCAGATTTCACCCAAACAGACCTCTTGCTGTCAGCATTTAATTATGCTTGCATTCCTATGTAAATAGAGCGTTAGCCAAAATAGAGCTTTTTATAGAAGATAAGATCAGGCACATCTTTACAAGAAAAGGAAGCTTTGGAAGCTTCTGTACTTCTGACAAGAATAAATTTCTAAATGCAAGAGAAAAATGCATAGAACTGAGCATGTTCTGTTCATGATAAATCACAGTATTGAAAGTAGTACTCTTTATATATCTTTATTTGGAGGCTTAAAAGTACATATTTAATGTGTGTATATAAAATATGTCCTTGTAAGACTACGAAGTCTTTTCAGACTTCCATTGAAAAATACTGTGCACTTAAGATTACTCTTTTTAATGATTCACAGTTCAGAAGAGATTTCAAGCAAGTTTTTCTCCAGAGCTGGATATTAAATTATTTGACAATCTTTTTCTCAGTTTGGCTCATGTATGTAAACATCTGGAGAAACATTATGTTCTAAGCTTAACCACGGATTTTATATCATAAGATAAGCATACATTTTAAATACTAATTTAAAGCTTAAAATACTGAAATCTCATAAATTCAAACAGGTCCCTAGTCTTCCAAGCATAAATGTCCATTACCCTTTCAAATAGTTTTAAAAGAATAACAGAATCCTTCAAAAAATACCAGACCCCACTGTGTTTAGATTGATGGGAACTGCAGCAAGCCTCATACAATTTTTCCTCACCAACCATGAGTCTTAACTCAATTGTCAAGTTTGCTGTCACCTTCAATCTAGATTCCTGTGAAAGGTCATGCAGACCTAATGCATTGGCTCAACTTTTATTGTACTGGGACATTGTGGTTAACTTCACATCTCCAGCTAGCATTCTCAGTAACCACACTGAGAGGTAGAACTGAAATCACATTGAACAGAGCTATTTTCATGATAACAGCTTTTGAAGAACTTGTGAGAGTTTCTGGGTGATAAGAAACTGCATCAGCTATTTGGCTCTTGATTTGGTCACATTCGATGCAGCTGAACAGAAATTAAATACCAGTTAACCTGATGCTGCTCCAGAAATCTATACAGAACACAATTTAGCATTCTCAAAATGAGACTTGACAAGCTATTTTCTTGTGGCAAATTTGCCTTGACAATACAATTTTGATTTGCCCAAAGGCTCCTATGTTTCTAGTATCTAGCAGTGTCAGAAGTAAGTACCACAATAATTTGGGGGCTGATAGTTCATGTGGGTAACCCAAGATCTCCTTTCTGAGACACCATTAGGAGATCAGAGCAGAATTTTGTTCACTGTATTTTCACTTGCAAACCTTTAGGTACCCTAAAAATGCTTCATGAGGAAGACAATTAATTAAGCCTTTGCAATTACCTTCTTTTATTGCTGAGTTCCGCCCCAGTACTGTGATGTAATTCACCTGTGCTGTTTGACCTAAAGGGGAATTTGGCAGTTGGAGCTGAGATGTTCTCACGGATCTGCCCTATTACCTAACTTTACCTACTGCTTCATTAAAGAAGAGTAAAATGATTTCCATATAAATACAAAATCAATTTTATACAAAGCACTCTGAACAAATGTCTTTCCCTATATAATTAAAAGAAGAAAAAAAGCATTTTATTTGACTGGAAATGCTTTGATAAACAACAGGTCTCATTCGCTACACCATTGAAATGCTCTAATGAATTTTTAATATCTTTAGTTGTTTAACTGGATCTTATTACAAAGAAGCTGAAGACAGGAGCATGATGTTTCCTCCACTGGCACATTTAAGAAATCAGTAGAGGCATGCCAAGAGAATGTTCTGTTTTCAAAACAAGGCTCCAAAACTGAACTTGGGATCAAAAATTAAAAGCATTTTGTCATTGTTTCTAGAATTAAACTACTGCTGCTGATTTGAAATGTATATTACCCTTTCCTCAAACTGACTACTTGGCTCTGTCCTTGACCTCCCTACAGGTATGATATTGCATCTGTGGCTGGCTGACAGGTGGCAGAAACTGATCACATTTGAAAACAAATTAAAGGTGAGAGATCTCTTGCTACAGACAATAGGAGGGAAATTCTGCTATTATAATCTATGTGCCATTAACCCATGAAGTTAAAAACTTGATTTCCAAGATGCTGACATGCTTCACTTGTAGCTACTATTGCACAGGCCTGCCAGCTGCAGAGATCTTCCCTGTTTGCTCAGTAACCCCGTACTGATTAATAAGATTGAACTGAGAAAGTTCACCTTACACCATTTTGTCAGGACCTTCATTTACTACCAATGTCCCCACATCTGCTGCAGGTTTTAAATCTTGTATGCAGTCCTGAGCCATAGGAACTCAAGCACATTGAGATGATAAATCATTACAGACTCCTCTAGCATTCTGCTGGTTTTCTGGTGACCGACCTGCTGTGCCTTGAGAAGCCCCTCAGTTTGCATGGAGGCTTTCTTAGCTGTAAAAGCCCCTGTGTTATCATCACCAACAGAACAATGGAGTTGGCTGCACATGCAGTGGGAGCCCAGAGCTCCACTGGACAGAAGAGCCTCTTGCAGAGCTTGCAGAGCAGGGATGGTGAGGAGAGTAACACAATGAGGCCCGCGGAGCACTAATGCACGGAGGGGTGGCTGTGCCAGGACTCCACTCAGCAGGCTGCTGGCAAAGTGACAGGGGAGGATTAGTGCTGATCAGAAAGACAAGCTACTTGCTCAGTTTCCTCATGTAAGAAGGAGAGGAGTAATACAGCAGGGGTAGGAAGAGCTTCAAAACCTGCAAGGACATGAGAACTGCTTCCACACAAAAAAAAAAAAAAAAAAAAAAAAGAGATGCATCTTCCAGCAATTTTTCTGAGCACAGTGAAGAAGGTACCAAAGTTCACTCACCCATAGATTACCCTGAATGAGAAAAAACACGTAGAAAGTGGGTGTCTTCTTCCCAGAACACACTCCAGAGTGTTTGAGAATGTACCTCATCCTCCCCCACATTTGTTTGTTTTATCCATCTGCTATTGCCCCATATTTGATTATGAATTGAAAGCATTCTCCTGGAGCTGCACTCTGAGCTTTTCAAACTGAAGTGTTTGAATAAGGCTTGTCACTACAGGAAGGATACAGAGGGCATCACATTCCCCAGCTGCCTCCCATCACCCTTTCCCCCTCCCTGCACCTCGGGGCCAGCAAGCAGCTTGGATGCAAAAGGGGAGAGCTCTAAGCAGCTGCTACCTCTTCCCTGTTTCTCCTGCTGGGCAGCTTCCATGCAGGAAAGTGGCTCTGTTGCTTGATTTCAGGTTGGAGGAGCCTGAGGGCAAACAGAATGGTTCATTGGGCTGTCTAAGCCTGCAGTGGCACATTGGTAGAGGATGGATTCCCCCCAGTCCTACACAGCCACAAAGGACAGGCATATGAGAGAGAGGTCATGTGGCTCCCCAATTCTCCCTGCCCCAGCCACAATGCCTGATTAAAGAAATTATCCTAATTTTTCCCAGATGAGTGTCCCAAGGAAATGCACAGTCTAACAAAGCATTTATTCTGGAAGAGTCTGCTGAAATAGGATGTTCTGGCAGTACTCTAAAGTTGGGAAGTTCCCTGTCTTCCAGAGGACTTTCCAAAAAGGGGCATTTGAGGGTGATTTTCACTTCCTCTGCACTAGCTGCACTGACACATGAAATAACCTGTTTAAGTCTTGGGCTATGAAGGAGCTTCTTTGCTCCAGCCAAGTGTCCTGCAGAACAAGTTAAAACTCTTCAGCTCAGCCTATCACACTGCCAGAGTGTGATAAAAACCATGGGAGCCAGCAGAGCTGGGAGTATCCATAATGTTTGCACACTGTTCCTAAGTGAGAAGAATATAAATCTTTTAAATGTATAGCCTGTTTCTTAAGTAGTAGTTTTGGGTTTTTTTCC